CATCAAAATATGACCGGAAAAAGTTGATGTATGGGTGTGTATAGGGCAGTGTTTTAGGCATTGTTTTGGGGTATATAAGTTGTTTATTTATCATGTATTTTATGTGTGAAATGGGTGTGCAATGTGATGTTCATTTTGATGAAGCATAGTGAAGTGAATGAACCATGAAATCTCCCTAAGAACTAATGTGAAACTTGATGAAAAAGTGCAGAAAAAATAGTGGAATAAATTTCCAAAAACATAGAAATAGGTTTAAAAAGAATCTGGAAATTTTTGGATGTCAAAGAATTAAAAAAAAAATAGAGGGGCTGTGGGGGTTCGAACCCACCACCTCACAGCCTCCTCTTCAGCGAAAATGAGAGGAAAAATAAGGGGGCTGTGGGGGTTCGAACCCTCAACCTCCCTATTCAAGCGAATTTAATTAAAAATAATAACAATAGTAAATTAAAATTCTAATTAAAGTTGGAAAATTAATTCTCTTATGTAAACATTGAGATTTAATTTAGAATTTTAATTAAAAATAGAATATTAATTCTTTTATGTAAATATTGAGATTTAAATTGGAATTCTAATTAAATTAGAAAATTATTCTTTCATGTAAATGATTGAAATTTAATTTAGAATTCTAATTAAAAAAAAAAATTATTATTTCACGAAAATGTTGAGACTTAACTTAGAGTTCTAAATTTATGAATATTAGAACAAAAATCAATGAAAAATATAAATGATATCCAAATAATTCAAAATTTGGGTTCTCGTGTCCAAACCTCCGTATTGATACATAAGTCATACGTGAGTGAAATATTCAAGAATAATGTCATCTACTTAGATCAAAAATCAAAGATCTTGGCATATATACAAGATACATAAGTCTTGTAATACATAATCTTAGAAAAACAAGAATTCACTTAACGAACTATAAATGAAGCCTCATGGCTTGTATGTATAGATATATAAGTCTAACATACGTTCAAAAATAAGTGAACCTAAGATATACGTAATGAAATGAAGAATGTGGTGACAATCATGATGTGAGGTTAATGCATATGATGAGAGCAATCTTAAATGAGCTTAAGTAAATGTTACCGATACATACTCACCAATGAGAGTGTAAGATAATGAAGAGACCAGTCTCTATGAATACTCTAATAAAAATATTGAGTTTAAAACACTTAATACTAATGATGAGATGAGAAATCATCTATTGAGCTATGATGTCTTCATACTAGAAGCAAACTTCTATGATGTATGAGTTGCATGTAATGGAACTTTATACCGAGCACCGATAGGCTAGCTATGAGTGGTGATGCCTTCTTTCGGGAAGGGCGGAGGTTCACGTAATTCTCATGAGATGAGACTGTCCGGCTTGCCGGGTATGGGTCTCCATACATCTCCTAGTCTTTGAACCTATATTGCCACTATAGGGATCTGGCGGGGTTAAATTCCCATATACGCTAGCATGTTATTGAATCGCTTTGGCCGGTGATTCCACCTCTTTTCGGTGTGGGGAAGACACTGGATTTCATGATGCTCACATGATCTATGTCGGTTAAAGTTAAAGTTCCCAATGAATGAATGAGGCCAGCCTCAAATGAATCATATAAAGAAATAAATGATACCGAAGGTGTTAGGATAGGATAATCAAGAGGTGAGCTAGATTCAGGTAATGACATTAGGTCATTCCTGATCATTGCACAGCAAACCCGATGAGAGTCTTAAACTACATCCTAGGTATAGCTGGTGTTCGCACTGGCCTATGAATGAATTGAAATGAAATACGAATGAATGAGTGAAGCAGACTCTGTGTTTGCTAAAGAAGGCTCCCTAGTTGAGGTCCCATATGTTGAGCCCTCATTTTGGAAAGTCTTAAAGTTAAGTCTATGATAATAAGGTCTCATGGTATACGAATGAATAATATGAAAGAAAGTATGTGTTATATGTTATGTGTTATATGAATATGTTATGTTTTGTGTGCTATACGATAATTATAATGATGCATGTCACTCTCATGGCATAACTTTCCCAATCTTAATTTGGCAAGTCCACTGACTTGACTTCCAAAAATCATGTTGTTAGGAAAGAGCTATTCTTCCTCATGCATGTCCCTGGTGTGTACTTGCATATACTCATACTTAGTACAAGTGTGTACTAATTCCATACGAACATCTACTTTTAGGTGCAGGCACAGGTGGACGCTAGAGCTACAGGTTCGTTGTTGCAGCTATCCGGACATCAGTATTCATCCGGAGTTTGGTAGGTCCTCATGCTTTCGAGGATGCTACTGTTTTACATTCTAGCGTAGTTTTAGAGTTGAGCTAGCGGAGCATGTTCCACTAGCGTTTCTTTCCTGTTTTGGTTCAAACTTTGTATTGGTGCTATTTTGGCCGATATACAATTAATACTTAATGAATTATTTCTTTCAGTTGCTTATCTCTTAAATGTTAGATGGTTGATGATGAACGATTACGAAATGTTAAGAATGTTCAGCAAGTATGATTAAAGAATCAAAAACTTCAAATTTTCCGCTAAAATTAATCTATGTAAAGTAAGAATGACGTAAGCAGGCTTGTCTGCGACCTCTGAGAGGTCAACGACGCCGGTCTCGTCTGGGGTCTAGATTCCGGTCGTGACAAAAACCAAATTTTCAAATATGACAAGTTCAATTCGATTTTTCATCTTCCCAAACCTAAGCAGATAATTTCGATTCGGTTTTAAGTACAAATCAAAACAAACTATTTTATCTGATAATTGTGGCTTGGTTTGGTTTTTCTCTAACCCTAAACAGATAAGTTCGCTAAGGTTTTTGAAAATGAAATCAAATCGAATTTTAATATGATAATTGGGGTTTTGTTCGTGCTTCTCCTGTCAAATCAAATAGATAAATTCAATTCCTAGTTAGTTCTTTCACTACCATGAATACGTTGTCGAGCATTTCCTTTCTCTTTTATATGAAGGTCAATATGTCTATGTCAATCATTATGTGAACACTCAATAAGGATATTTCAAAAATTTTAGTTCGGTTCAACTTAAAACTTTTATATGGATTTTTTTCTTCAGTTTTTTGGTTTTCTTGAATGACACATAAATGTTATATGATCAGTCCAGTTTAGATTTCTTCATCTTTTTAAATCGAAACATAAATATGATAACTGCAGTCCAGTTTAGTTCCTTTTCTCCAGCCGAAATAGTTCAGCTCGATTATGCTTCTACCTAGAATACCTTGCTAGTGATTTTTTTTCTCTTTTACATGGAGGATAACTAACTATGTCAATCGTTGATTTGAACTCTTCACATGGATGCTTGATCAGTTGGTTTTATTTGGATATTTAAAACGAAAATTTTAGTCTGTTTTCCAGTTCAGTTCTTCATCTTTTTGGTTAAAATCAATGCCTTGTTTAACATTTTTCTAATGTTTTGTGTTAGGGGTATCAAATAAGTCGGCCTGTTGAAATTTGAGATATTAAAATAGGTTGAAATAGAAATTGAATTGGATTCTGACCCGCCCAAATTTACTTTGGTCTCAAAAGGGTTGGGTTCAAATGAGTTTAAAAGTTAGTTGGATCTTGACCTACTTAGTCTCAATAACTTTAATACAGTGTTCTTTAAGTTTTATAATCCAATATGAATTTGAACTCAAGAAATATTCAAAAAAGAAGTTATAAATGGATTAATAAATTTTAAAAGATATAAAATAAGGTAGTATTTCATACCTTCAATATAGGAACATACATTATATCATTACAAATAAAAGTTTTAAAATGAGTTAAAATTGAAATTCAAATGTGCTCAATTGAGGATTATCTTAAAATGGATAAGGAATGTTGATTGAACCGAATTTAAATTATCTGAGCCCAACACTTAAATTTCTAAAATCAATACTTATAGTTAGACTCATTACTTATGGTTGGACGAATTTTTTATGCCTCTAGTTTTGACTAATCAATTTGTAACTGACCCTAAAAGAGAGACCACGTACATGGATAATAATGGTTTCACTAGGTTTGAAGTTTATTTTGAAATTAATAAGGCAAACAAGTTCAATATTCATGTCTTAGTTACAATCACTCATTCTACACATTACTGAAATCTTCCGATTGATTTTTCTATAATGTTAAATTAAATCATGAATAATCAATTAAAAATAATTTTTTAGTCTGATCTGCATATAATTTCCTGACAAGTAAAAAATAGGTAAATATTGTAGATTAACAGGAAAACTTAAATAGTAGTTCTATGTTTACACAACTTAATATACTTTTAAAAAACATATAAAAATACTCTTAAAATTAATTTTTTAGTGTCACATGAAACAGAGCAAAACAATAACATGTATTATTTAAAAACTACATAAATAAAAATTGAAAAAAATCAATAATTAAGAACTTGAATTTTTTTAAACCATATAAAAAAGGCCTAGAAAAAATTTGATTGATTATTGAAATTCTATATGTGCTACATAAATTTAGACCAATGAAATAATATATATATATATATATATATTTAAAAATTACATTAAAATTATTATAAACCACAATAATTAACAACTTGAAATATTAATAAAAACATAGAAAGTTCGATTGACCTTTGAATCACTGTCCATAAATAGGAATATATAAGCAACATATATTGTTTAAAAATAACATAAAAGGAATATAAATCACAACAATTTAAAAATAAAAAAAACATGTAAAATTAAGTTTATTCTCAAAATTTTATCAGTATCACATAAATTGAAATAAAGAACGTAACATATATTATTTATAAATTATGTAAAACTTTCAAAATTCTATCTATTACATTACATAAAATGAGATAAAAATAACGGATATTAGGCTGTTTTAGCAGGTGGGTCTAAAAATCACACCTCCATTTTTGATTATCCGCTTATATTTAACGCGGATAATTATTTTTAATTATTATACGCTTATATCCGACGCGGTTAAAAGGGTATAATAGTCCAATCACACGGAATCTCTTGCCCGCCAACCCAATAACAACTATTTAAAGGCTTCAATTCAGTAGAAGCGTTACCAAACTCTCAAAACCCTTCAGAATGTTGGAGCTTTAATGGTGAATGCGTTCCAGAAATTGGAAGAGAGAATGTACGGTGTGCTTTGCAATAGTGAGAAATCATCAACAAAAGCGGCTGTGGATGCTTTTGCTGGGATGGGTGTTCAAGTTACCGTTGAAGATTTTGTGCCTTTCATGGGCATGGGTAAATTCTTCTTCTTCTTCTTGAATATTTTCTTTGTCAATCTGCTTATACGTAGTTGTTTTTCCTTCTTGGTTTTCTTTCAAGTGTTTGATGCGAAAGATGGGTATGAAATTATCATTGCTTCCCGCGGTTCAGGGTACTGGTTCTTGAACAATTGAACCAGCACTCTTGAACAATTAAACCAACATCAACGGGTTCTTGAACAATTGAAGCAAGACCAACTGGTTTCTGAACAATTGAACCAACACCAACCGGTTCCAACTGGTTCTTGATTGAAAAGTAGTTTCTTGATTTGTATGTTTGGGAACCATTGACAATTTTGGGTGTTTTTGTTGACTTCACTAGCTTCTTTGGATATCATTCCTTAAGGAGTCGAGGATAAAGTAAAGCATCAATCCAATGGACAATATTTTCTACTGTTCAATGTTCTTCTTCAATTTCTTGATTGTTACATTCTTTTGATTTATTGTTTTTGAATTTTCAGAGGGGAAAGGTGTCTTTGTCAATACGCTTATATGTATTTGCTTTTCCCTTCTTGATTTATTTTTAAGTTTTTAATGTGAAAGATAGATATGAAATAATCATTATTGAACCGTGTTTTATTCATATTTTTTGAAAAAATTGCCCAACCCCAACTAATTCTTGATTGAGCAGGTGTTTCTTGATATATATGTTTAGCAGTTTAGGAACCATTGACGATAGTGGGCATTTTTGTCTTCGGATATAAACCGTAAATCATTAGTCCAATGGCCATTTCTTTTATGGTTTAATGCTATTGTCAGATTGCCTCATTATATCTTTTACGAGTTCACCTCAGCCATTGGTCATTTTGTTTGAAGGCATGCTGATAAATTTTATGAAGTAATGATTAAGCCAGATACATGAAATATCGATAAGAAGAAAAACAAAAGAAAAGAATTATCAAGAATCTCTGTCCAGTCCCCTCCATGGGAACTTTGTTATGTAAGAAACCAGTAACCTTCATCTACCTCATTTGAATATTTGCTGTTTGTGAAGCATCATCTCTTTCCTCCCAAATAATAGGTTTCGGTTCTCGTGGTAGATCTTATCATGTGCTTACTTTCATGAATATAGCTAGCCGAGGCCTTAAGTGAATTCTTTCATTCACTATGTTGAATTTTAGGGCCCTTCTCCACAAGAAACCCTTGTGCTCACAAAATCATCCATATTGTCTACGAACTTGTTCTTTTGAATGATCATCATGTTAATTGCGATTGGATCCAAATACATCGGTTAAATTTTTTGATCTCGAATTACACTTGTTTTCGACACCAAGTATAAAAGAATTAGTTTGATGTTACTTATCCTTTAGGAAATGTATCTTTGATTGTGTAGCACCTTGTTCCTTTACCATATTTTCTCAATGACTTTTTCTCCTTTTGATTTTCCTTTACCCTCAAAATATATTATTTAGTGGAGCAAACTTCTTATGTGTTGCTGCTGCTGCTAAGGGTGTTGAAGGATTTGATGCCGAGGCTGCAAAGAAGAGGTTCTTTGAGATATATTTATTAAAGGTGATTGAAATTTCATATATTTACGAATATCTACTCTCAAAGCAGATTTCACTGGGTATGTTATTGTTGTAAAGCACTTTCCTTTTAGTCGTGGTATCTGACTCCAGAACTGACAATTTTATTGATAAACAGGCAATCATTTGTAGTATGCAGACCGAATTATGGCATAGGTGTCCCTGGTGCCTTTGAACTTTTCTCTCAGGTATGTATAACCTGTGATACAACTTTACTAAATGTGGACTTGCTCTTTCTGTTTTTGTTACTTCTCATTAATCTGGTGATATGGTACGCCAGTGTAAAAGCAGCGGTCTCAAAGTTGCTGTTGCATCTAGTGCTTACCGAATTAAAGTTGATGCAAAGTGGCTGCAGCCGGTTTACCAATAATGATGTCAGTTAACATAATAAACTTTGGCTGTGAATAGTTGCTTCTCATTCCTTTAATAATAGGCATTCAAGAAACAGTGGATTAGACTGAATCAGCACATAGCAAGAACTATATTTTTTTAAATTATAAGTGTAGATATGTTTTATTGTAAAGAACTACCTTATATCTACTACACTTGGCGTATAACTTCTGCAATGGGAATTACTGGACATTAAATTTTTTGCTGACATAATGAATCTGTTAGTCATGGAATCAGGTGCTCAGACTCCAAAGGCTGTGATCTTTCTTATATGGCCTTGGGCAATCCTCCCCTTATGAGTTAGCTTTTGTTGTTGAGTTAGGCCCACGGACCGTCTCTTTACACAGTATCAGTGTCGGTCCCATCAATCCCTCGACCCCTGTTGTTATGTTTCTCTTTCTCAATATTGATCCCCCGTATTATGTTTTCTGTGCTTAGATTTTCTAGTCCTGGGTGTGCCCCTAACTTTTTGTGGTTGAGTTATGTTCAAGGTCCATCCATTTCTTCACAGTATATATGCAAACACACACACTATGCGTTGGTTTGTAATGTAGTTCGGGAGGACGTAGTACTTTTATTAAGGCTAAAGTGTACAACTCGGATGAAAATCACAGGTTTGCTGTGAACTGACTGAAACCTCCCTTCCCCTCTCTTCTTTGTTTTTAGTTATCCTTTATTTATATTTAATCTCATATCCTATTTGTTTGATTTGACAGGTTTTGATGCAATTGTATCTGCTGATGCCTTAAAAAGTTTGAAGCCTGCTCCTGATATTTTCTTGGCTGCATCACGGATTCTTGATATTCCCAATAGTGAGGTAGATTCCAGGATGTGCAATGCTGTATTGCTACCACCCATCACCATTTTTTTCTTTTTAGACACTTTTATGTGGGTGGTATGTGGTACTAACCTGATGAGAAATTTACATTCAAATTCTGTTTGACTGAGAGTTCCCTACATTATTATCCATTAGTAACTGTAATAATCAGATGAAGCTAGCTGGAAAACAAAATTTAAGCAAAGAAGATACTACAAACTTGATAAATATATTGGCAACTTTTATGTTGAATATTATATTCCTGGATGGAAAAGAGATGCTCTATTGTCATTCTATCAGTCAGAACAGTTTTTCTAAATATGGATATAAAAATGGGGGTGCATTATGAATTGCTGAAGGTTCATCTTCAAGGATGATGAAGTTTTGAAGTGTTAAAGTAGATCAGTGTCCTGTTTGTCGATCTTGGTAGACATTATCATAATTCTGTATGTTGACATTTGTGTTGTGATTGAAGATAAATTAGCTGGAGTACAAGCTGCCAAAGCTGCGAAAATGAGGTATTTGTGTTTGAGTGCCTTTCCTTTATATAGTTGGACTATGTACAATCGTTCAAAGTTGTTGATATCACCAACCCTACATGAACTTTCCTTCATTTTTTCTGTCAACTGAATCAGTAAGCTGTATCAGCATCATTCTAATGTACCTCTTTGCCTCTGTTTTTAGCGATCATTTTGATTCCATTTTTTCTACATTCATAAATATGTTGACTTACTTGCAAATGTATAGCTGTGACGACAACACTATCAGAAGATACTCTAAAAACAGCGGAGCCCACACTTATCAGAAAGGAGATAAGCGATATTTCACTTGAAAATATCCTCGATGGTGGCTCTGGTAGCCATAGTATGTAGTGCACCAACATGTTAAGAACTTCCCTTTTCGTGTACCATTGACAAATGCAGAATACTGAAGCTCTTTTGTGTTATTTATGGAAAAACATGCGAGTAAGCTCTTTTTTGTAATGACTATAACTTGTTGAAGGATATCCTGTTCTCTGCTCCCTTAAGCTGTATGCTTTAGCTGCTAATTGTTGTCTTTTACTTAGTTGATGGAAATTTGATAGTTCTAGTGTTCCTCTAGCTTATCATGTGTGGTTAATAGTGGCTCCCTTTTTATGCTTACTATAAAATGAATCTAATGATGACAAACAATGCAGTTGCGGTGGTGCAGGAATCTCAATCCATTAATGATCTAGCTCTCTAACACTAAATCCAATATGATGGAGTATCTCAGAGCTGGATTTTTATCCAACAAGTGAAGCCTGTACCAACTAACACATTTGGATCCACTTTTTTCAACTTCTCATCACACTTTACAGATTCCCTAATTGATGTTTTTTGTTTGCAGAGCATGCTAGGTCAGAAAATGCTTGGATTTCAACTGACAAGTCTTGGTGCTTTCGATGCTGAAGAAACAGTAATGCTCACACGCAACCTTGACCAAAGCTTCAAACTCTTTGAGAAGTTTTTTGATATCTATGTTAAAGTTTCTATGCTAGATAGATATCAAGCTTCTTTATCTTGACCTGTTTATTCTGTTGCCTTAAAAACTATTTGCAGTTTCGGCCAGCCATGAGGATGATATAAGCATCCAGTATTCTAGTACTCCAGCTTTAACGTGAAACTTCGTAAGGTAACAACTTTCTTGTTCTGGTATATATGAAGGCAGCATTCGTGCAAAACATGTTTTTGGAGAGTGCATTAATAAAAATACATATGTAGTAGTTCTCAGACCCTGTCAAAGTTCCTAAATCAACGAGCATTATATAACCATCATTGACATTGGTACTAATTTTTTGGCCAATTAAACTCATATCAAGAGTAAGAATCTGGGATTGGATCTTTAATTGCCAACTGCACAAATTTATCTCGAGATCCTGATGGATATAGCCTACAACTAAAAAAATTATAGTCAACTAGTTGATTTTATGACCTCAAACTTTGGATCTAAGTTTCTTTTCATGCAATTTTACTTTGAGGAGTCATGAATTGATATTAGTCCTAGCAATGTCTTAAAGTTACTATATGTCCAACTTAACCTCAAATTTGAGTTTGTTACCTCAGGCGCTTTCATATTTTCTTAGGTCAGGACTCAAATTGGTCATAATTTTTTTTTCAGTAGGGCCGGAGACACGAGAGCAAAAATCTCAGAGTTCATCAACCAACAGGTATCTGAGGAAAGACCCCAGCGTTTCAATAAGAGGAAGGAGTTCATATCGGATGTATGTCAAGTTGGAATGTGAAAACTAAAGAAAGTACTTGGGCAGAGTTCTGGTGCTAAGAAAATCAGAGATATGGCCATTAATGCCTGGAAGACTGTCTGAAAATGACAAAGAGGTACGATGAAGTACTTATCATATTGTTGCTAGCAGACCTGTGTTTATTTAAACATAATTTTGGCATTTAAGCATTCATGTTTCTTTCTCCTACTTCAACAAACATACACAAATTTAAGCAAGTAAAAGTTTTTCCTGGTTCATCGTATCCTTCCAACTTTTGCTGCCTTACATTGGAGCAAGTAAGCTGGATAAGGAAAGATATATCCAAGAAATGGCTGCTTATGAACAGCATAAGAACAAAGAAACTACAACAAATCCAAACTTGCACAGGGGTTTGGCCCCAAGTATGATCAACTTTGGTGCACGGAATTGATCATGGTTATCATGTGACTTCACAAGCTTATACTGGAAGCAACATTCTCCCTAATGCATCCTCTATTGAGTCCACGGTACAAATATTGAATAATGGTAAGACAAGTAACCCCATATTTCAGATGTATTGGTGCTCTTTTGCCTAGTCAATTTCAGTTGCTACTTTGGTGGGTTTTGAAAGATATGTATAGCTTTCGATCTGTAAGTATCTTACAACCTTAGCATGATGCTTTTAAGATGTATATAGCTTCTAGTCTTTGAAAACTAGCGTGTCAAGAAGCAGCATTTGTAGGTTAGTTGGTAGTGGAGGGTTATCTTGTTTTTTGAGGCGGCGTGTTGGTTTTATTTTTGTCCTAGTTTTATTATTGTGATTCTTTTAATTTTTGATATCTTATCACTGTCTGTTGTTATTTACTGTGTTTTAATGGTCACATAACTTACATAATTCTCTTTTTTAACTGATGTTGGTAATTGTGTCTGTAATACAAAGTTGATTTTCTATCTTCTTGTGCTCTTAATTTGAAAGATTTGTGTTCTGCTGCAATCTGAGAGTGATGGAGAAGCTAAAACCGAAAATGTTATCCCTATTGAGTTTTACTAAGATTATCTTTATGTGGAAACTGATGCTAGAATTCAGGTTATATGTTTTTAACTTTTGGTGTTGTTTGATGTTGGCTTGCTTTCTGAGATATGGAAACATAATACATCTTTCTTGTTGCGCTAGTTTACTAATTTTCAAACTGACCTATACATCATCAGCCTCCAATTTTACTTTTTTTGTTTAAATGTCCTTAATTTCTTTTCATTAATAAACAATTCACAAAAACTTTCTACTTTCGCTTCTATTTGTTTACTTTAAACTTTGCACGTTCTTTGAAAATAATGATTAATAAATGAACAGTCGAAATAATTAGTTTGCATTTAAGTTATGTTTTGTCTTTCATCATATTGTAAGTCTACCATTGCCTGTTTCGGCAGATACAAATTTAATTGCTGCCAACTCTTTTAGTTACTTCTATCCTTCTTTAGTCACTTTATAATTTAGCATTATGATGAACTCAAAACTCTCAGAAATCAGAATGGTGTATATTCACTTACAAGCAAGGGAACAGAACATTTATGGAAAATGACAGTGCAAATATCAAGAATGGTAGGTAAAAAATGTAAACTGGGGTAAATTGACTAGACTTTTTTAAAGCATCGAGAGATACGGGGTCTGTAAAGTTTTTCTAATAGAAGAGGAAATTCTCAGACAGTCATAATAAATGTTTTCAATATTTGCAAACTTTAACTACCAACAATGTTCAAAATTATATACTTGGAGGACAAAATTAAATCTAAAAGGAATAGTTTTGGCTAAAAACACTTGGAAAATAAATGGGCATTGACATTTGGATGATATGAAGACCTAAAAAGGGTATGAGATGGTGGGACACACTAGCATGTTGTTTCTCTTTATTCTTGCATTTGAGATATGGGACATCATTGCCATCCTCCTTGATGGAATTCAATCATGGAACTACTTTCGTCAAACAAACTATATACAGTATAATATATAGTAAAACTAGTGAGATTGAAACACACGAGCACTATTTCATTTCAATTATATATGAAATTACTGTGCTAAAATAATTTGTTGGGTTAAAGGTGTCCAAAATATGTAATTTAATCATTTTGTGTATCATTTTATTTGTATATCAACTTCTTGCAAGGGAAATGCCTATTTTTATATATATATATATATATATATATATATATAAAACTTTTAAAATTTATAAACTTTTGATTAAAAATGAATTGATCCTATTCATGGTTGACAATTTATACAACTATACTTTAAATATTATGAGATTGTCCTTGTGGCGAGTAAGGTAATTTTTCACCTTTCCTTGCACTTAACAGTTAAGGTACTTGATTATCAACCACAACTGATTAACATATTACCATGACCAAACTCAAAACATAGTCTAGTCTTAATTAGATCATATAAAGTATGTATGATTTTACTCGTGGCGATGACATCGAATAGCCGATGACCAGTAAGGTTTCGTTGTACTGAGCTTGTTTAGTGCGAATTTGCTTACTTATTTTATTTGTAAGCTATTGCATAGGAGCAAGGTTTTACATGTACGCACTTAAGGAGTAGCCATTACGAATTTGCTTTGTCATAAAAAAGAAAAAACAAACATTATCATTAAATAACAGTCTATGTCAATATTTAGTTCAAAATATAATTAATAAAGTTAATCTAGTAAATAAAATCATAAATAAATACATAAGGTTTAGAATACAGTTAATCTACCAACTACCAAATTAAAGTCTCACATAACTCATAAGAGAACCTGTGCAAAACACAAAAGGTAAAGAAATCCTTATGGGAAAGTGAGTTCCTTTGGGATCTATATATCCATGCGGCTGTTTGGTAGAGTGCATTAATTATATGTATTAATAATTTTTTGTTTGGTGAATTTTTTCATGCTATATAGTTATGCATTAGTTATACACCCTACTGTGTATTAAGAAGTGTATTACTAATACCATGAATTTTTAGGTACTGATAAATTGATTAAAGATTCAATTACCCCTCAAAAGTACTTTTACATCTTTTCCAACATAATAATAACGGATACTCTTATAAATAAATATTTTATACAATCCATACTATTTTTAATACACTAAACCAAACAATGCTTAAGAAATCATCTATGGGTAATTAATACTAATACAAGTATTACTAATACGCTCAATTAAATATTAAAGAAAAGTTAGCAAAGATCTCACTTTAATTTTTACAAATGATTAAAGAGATACCCAACAAATTGACAGACGATATCTATTGAGTTTGGCCAAATGAATTAAAGGAATCAAATTATATTCCGTTTTCAAATATCAAATACCGCTCTCCAGAATTCCAATCCTTAAACTTTTTGACTTAATAACGTAACATTGATTATTAGTAAATTCATATATATGCTTTAATCACCATCGCAAAGTTTCTTTTTCCTTATCAAGATGTAATACATGCATACTTATGGGGAAAAATAAAAACAAAAACTGTAATGCATTCTATCCAGAAAAAGAATTAAAGTTAAGGGATTCTTACTAAGAAAAAGAAAAATAAAGTCGATGAAACTGAGAAAAAAGGACAAAGAAAATCTCCCAGGACCACTTTACTATATCTTAATTAAACATCACATGATGTTTTAAATATGGAGAGTTAGCAGTACTTAATATAGTTGTATGTGTTTTAATTATTCCATCTCTTAATTGATTTCCATATTAAGGTTTAATTACTTTGGTTGTCTCACCTCTCTCTTTTTTTGGTCCTATATATCAATATAAAAAAGTCCTCTCTCCATTAAGAAGTGTTTTCTTCAATAAGAAAAGAAAAGACCTAAGAAAATATATATTCATATTGAAAAGCTAGGCCTTAAACACAAATAATAATGAGATAAAGCACTTTAATGCAACTAATTAAGGGGCTCTCGTACGAGAAATAATGGATAAATTAAGTATTAGATTCAATTTTAAAATGAATTTATTTCATGAAACTGTTTATGTCGAAATAGTAATATTAGTTTTATCTATATAGAGAGTAGATAACAATTTAGAGATAATTAGTTATAATATTGAAATAAATTGTTTTCTAATCGAAAAGTCAGATGATAGATGATGAGTCTCTTAAATATATGACTTTATGTTCAATTTTATATTTGTATTCTTATTTACAATATAATATAATACGTTGGAGAAAAAATTGTCAAAGTACGTACTCGGCCGGCAATAACAGTTTCATCATTCATGACAAACAAATTATAACTAGCTAAGCACGTACGTATTAGTGATGAAAAAGAGTCTTATCAATTTAATCCACAATTAATTGCCACCTTATGAAATAATTAAAAATATGATGATAATTATAATAGTAATGATGGTGACAACAAGATAATAGTGTCAAAATAAAATCATTTTGGCATAATATACAAAAATATGTCATTTAACTTTACCTCATTTCATATTCATGCTCTCACACTTTGAATGTACACGAAAAAAATATACAAATACTTTACATGACATTTTACGTGACAATTTATGTATAAAGTCATTGCTTGGGCCCTTTTTTTTGGCCTACATTTTTTAAAAAAACAATTACTTATATATGTTATTTAAAAAAAAAAATAAAAAAATATATATATATATATATACACTATGAGTGTTATAATTCTACTAAGGAAATTACATATGAGATGAATATAAACCTGAATATAATTTGATAAAAATATGGATAACAAAATCACAAAATCTTGTTGATTACTTTATATATGTAGAGAAGATCAAACTACTTTTCATTTCACAAATACATTTGAACCAATTGAAGCATATGAAAAAAAAAATTGATTTCTTATTTACTCGTAAAATATTGAAAGTATTAGATGATGAGAATTTTTAAGAATATTGTGTTTAACTTTGAACTTTCTTTAACACCTAATAGTTATTCCGATATTGATGATTCAAATTCATTTTTTTAAATTAAAAATGTTAAGAGAAATAATACTAGTAGAAGATAATGATCTAATGAAAATACTCAATCAAATAAAAAAAACTTGATTCTTTTCCAAACACATGTCGCTTATAGAATAATTTAAACAGTTCCTGTAGCCTCACCCGAAAGAAGTTACTTTCGAAATTAAAAAAAAATTGATTGAATCTTTTCTAAGATCAACAATACCTCAACTTTCAAAAGAGATTGAATGCTTTAGCTATATTATGATTTGAAAAAGAATTATTAAAACAAATGGATAATAAAACAATACTTAATGACTTCGATAGTTATATCTAAAATAGCTAGAAAAATACATTCAAATAAAAGTATACATGATTAAAAAAATATTATATCTTCTCTCTTAAACACACACATATGAGTAAATTTGAAGGAGCTTGTAAATTCCAAGAAATTTCAAACATAAAGAAAGGCTATTTTGTATATTGAAAACAACAAGTAGTAGAAAGAGTTGTGAAATCATGGAAGGTGTGGATTCCTTTGCTGCTTAACGCCAAAACAGAAGAATTGTCCCTTTATTCCGCATCTTTGGTTTTACCCAAATACTAACAGACAAAATTTAAAACTTTTTATTGACAAAAATTGTAGATTAGTTTTGTCTCAATCTTATCTCACTTTTTATTGTTTTTTTCCTATACATATATAATCTAAACAAACAATCAAGTTGGTCGAGCAAGGAAATTTTCAATTAAAAATCTCAAATTTATAGTTTCTCGTTTATTTTTTTAGTTGAGTTCCAGACATAATTTACAATATCTATTACGTTGGAGTAAAATTTATCATAACTATTATAGAAGAATGAGATTTATATGTGTGATTCCTTATCATTAATAAAAGATAAAAAATATAGGTACGCAGCCATGAGTTAATTAATCCTTATTTATCCATTAGAAAAGAGTATTATTATTCACTATTAATTAACTAAGTAGGTGTTTGGCCA